GAGAGAACAGCCTGGGGAAAAAGCCAGATTCCCCTGGGCGCAGGCAGCTCGGGTAAACAGGCAGAAAGAGCCAGGAGAGCCTGTGCCGCAGCCCAGGGAAGGCTGGGGGACAAGGGTATTTACCTGCCCTTGGCCCAAGATGGAATGAAACCACCAGCAATTTCCTGCAGGCTGCCACAAGGCCTCCACAGTCCCCTGCCTGCGGAAAACCAGGCACAGAGGGATTGTCTGTGCCATGGCTGTGCCCAGGGGAGGAAAGAACAACCCAGTGAGCATCTCAGGACTTTACTACAGTCCACAGTAAGAGCAGAAAGGGATTTTTAAATACATTACAAACTAAAACATATTTCAGGGAAAAGCAAGATTTGCAAACAGTGGCGTATTAAGGAGTAGCGTGGCTTCAATTCGGGGCCAACACAGTACAGCCATAGAGCCAGGATGGCCCCCCGAGAGCCTGTGACATCACTTGCAGCACGCTCACACCAAGTGGGAAGATGCTGAGACGACAGGGTGCAAGCTGTGCTGCTGCCTCTCCAGAGCAACCCAAGGCCAGCAGGATCATAAAATCATTGAATAGTTTGGTTTGGATGGGATCTTTAAAGGTTCCCAGGGTTCTCCACGCTCCCGTCTCCGCCGTCACTCTGCTGCAGGTTTCGCTTCCTTGGCTGTTTCCAGCTGTGTCAGTATTTCATTCCACTGGACAAACTGCTTGGAGAGAAGCAGGGTCTGGACATGACTCTTAAGGAAAGAGATGTGGAAACTGCACGGAAGAAAGCAAGGTCAGAGCACCCCAACAGCTCAACAGCACCGTTACAATCACGATTCCTTGGGAAAGGAAGAGGCCTCGGACACTAGGCTCACCAAACCACCCAGGCATTGAACCACGCACAGCACCAAACACTGATGGGCATCCAGGAGACACTTCTGAACACTGTGTAGCACTGCATTTCAAGGGGCTTTCTACAGAGAAGAGCAGAGCTTCCCTACCCACTGTAGTTTTAGGATGCGTCTCAGCATTGGGATTCAACACAGCCAGGATTAGCTGCCATCCGTCTCAGACAGGTTGCAGGGACCAGCAATCAGCTAGGAGAGATACCAACGTCCAGCTGGCCAGCACAAGCTCTGCACCAGCACGCAGGCTGCACTGCTCCTGCCAAGCTGCACTGTGAGCAGATCCAGTACAGGGGCTCTGGCTTGCAGGTGGCACCCCACCCTTCCCATCTCAGAGATGGGCAGTTCTGGCCCTCAGCTCTGCTCTGTATGACAGGGACACGGGCATCACCACATCAGAAAGGACACTGGCCATTAAACCCAGCGCTGGGGATTGCCTGCTTCCAACAATACCTGATGGGTCAAGGCAACCCAAGAGATAGGCAGGCAGTCCAGCTGCGTCAGGCCCAAGGCTCAAAGGATACCATTTTGTTGTAGTCTTCAAGGAGCATCTTGACACTGTTTGTGAGTTCTTGACGCTGTTCCTGCAAAGAGGAGAGCTGCAGTGAGTAAGCGGTAAATCATCTGAAGGATACCTGTCCTCCCAGTCCCTGACAGCACAGGGGAAAACTCATCCAAGGCCAGTACTGAGATTAGAGCTGTGGCCACTCACTACACCTGCAAGTGTTTCAATAGTCAAGAGAAAGGTTACAAACACCCATGCTCATGAAGCACCAAAGTCCCTGGGCTTGCACTGCTGCCTGCCTCTCCTCAGCATCGGTGCTTTCCTTGCCCCAGAACAGAAACTCACAGCAAAATGCTGAAAGGAGGCATTAGGCGCTGCCCAGGCCACTCCTCACCAGCTCCAGGAGCACTCAAATGGGGAAGGAAAGGGTGTACAGACAAAGTGACAGTATCAACAGTCTTCCAGAGACTGGGATACTGGAAGAGTGCAATGCTTTCTCTCAGTGTCCCAGTGAGAGGGAGAACACCAGCTGGTTAAACCCACTGCTGCTTATTAAATATCACTCAAGCCTCTGTTTTGAACAGGATTGGGGTAGGCAAAGCACTTCTCCAACTCAATTGTCAGAAATTCTGGCTAGTTCCACCCCCCTCTAAAAAGTGCTTACACTTCTTTAAAACTGCAGCATGAATATCCTGGACAAGATGCAAAAATAAACCTGCTATAAATGAGCAATTCAAGCAATTGCAAATACAGGGGTTTCAGCACAGCCACTAACAAATGGTTCTTCCTCCCCACTAGCCAAGACTGTCAAGAATATTCACACTACCTGCTGCTGTATGTGGATTAGAGAGAGTCGCTGTAGTTTGGCTGCATGGTCAGGAACCGCTGAAAACACAGAAGAGAAACCCATTTTGTTTGTTTTACATCACATGGGATTAGTTTCCAAAACAAAGACCATTCCTTCTCCACAAGCACCTCACAGCAGAACTCCGCTCACTGAATGCAAGCGCCACACACCACACACACAGTTTTTATACCATACAAAGCCCCTAGCTACCTTGTACATTAAATACCAAGTTTATTTTCTAACTGCTTCTGGATGTTAGGGCAAGTAATTAAAAAGGCATCTCCTCCTATGCCAAGAGCAGAGACGTTCTGGACATAAGAGAGCTCATAGGCAGGAGTGGCTCCACAGCCTGGTGACCGTACACACAGTGCTCAGCCACCAGTCTCCACACTCTCTGCCAAGCTGCTGTTTCTAACCTGCTTCCTGACCTACTCTACCACCTCCTTGACCTCGCATGGGATGTTACAGCAGCACAGGGGAGCAGCAGACGTACTTTGTTTGCACCTATTTTACTGACACCAGGTTGTGTGCTTAGCTGTCCTCAAGTCTGAGGCTCAAGAAAAAACCTAGGAAACAAGAGAGGCAACAGCGTGGGGATGGCATTTGAAGCTCAAACTTGCAGAAGAACATGCATACCTTGGATACTGGCACTGTCCAAGATGGGCTGGAGGTTCTTCACCTGCTCCAGAAGGGCTGCTCGGGAAGGAATAACTTGATCCTCTGGTTGGGGAGGGACAAGAAGCAACATCAGTAAATACAAGACACTGCTTTGGTTTTTCACAAATACTGGTGAGGGAACTCTTCCAGCTGATCTAGCTGTACAGAAAGGGGCTTGTTTATGATTTTATTTAGACTTCTGTATTGCTTATCCCTGGATCTTAGTTCATGCCAATTTCAGGCAGTAGAATCTGCACCAAGTTTATTGGCAGACTATACCAACACAGGCTGAATCAAATTCTTTGGGGCAAAAGAGGACATGGCTAGAAGGTGTTTAAAATAAATCTAAAGGTCTTTCATTTCTGTCACAGCCTAGAGAGTATGGGAAGTGGACTGAGGAAAACTGTTCTAGCTCCAGTTTTTCTCTTCAGCTTTTTATTAATTCTTAAACTGATCAACACTAAAAGATCAGAACCGATAAAGCTGCAGCATGGACATGCACAAGGGAGTACTAAGGGTGACAGCCATCCTTGTACAAACCATGTCTCCAAGAGCTCCAAAGAGGGTGCCTTTCCAGATCTTTACAACTAAAGAAAAGAAATCCATCACAATCCAGCTTAGGTAAAAGACAATTTTTGCAGCACTAAAAAAAACCCCAAGCAAAACTCTGTCTCCTCCCATTTCATGCCATACCTGCCAAGATGAACTGCAGCTTCATAGTGTCTGGAACAGCCATCCTATCAATGTACTGAGGGTCAAGATATTTTATTACATCTTCAACTAGAGTGAAAAACAGGTTTGGAGACAAAAATTAGGAGAGATGTTACTGCATCTACAAGTGCAATCTTCCCCCCATGCTATACATCAGGTTACTTTGTAAACACTGCCCACTTAGCGTAATTTTTTCTTACATTCATAAATTTCTATAATACTTGAAAATATGTGAATTTAGAGCACTGTGACCAAAAACTGACAAAGTTTTGACTGGCTCAAGCCAAATAACTGCTTTGTTACAGATGCCTGCAACTCTTGCTTTTTATAATGATATTAAAAGTGAATGAAATCTGCTTTTTTCTGCCCGTGAAATAAAACCAGCCAACATCCCTCCATCCTGGTCCTTAAAATCATCTACAAATACACAGTTTACTTTTTTATACCAAATCGCCACCGCAGCCTTGCACGACAATGACCCTCCCTATGCAGCCTGCTCCTTCTGCGACATCAGACAGCGAAACTCAGCCAAGAGGCAGCTCTGCAGGACAAAGCACCACTCTGGTGTCCACTCCTGACATCCTCCAGTTTGGGGGCAGCTCCTCTGATCCATCCACCTGCGGCTGCATGTGATCCTTGCTGCTCCCACCACACACATAGGAGACAGCTGCTCTAGCATGCCCAAGAAGTCCAAGCGTGCAGGAAGACTTTTTAGGAGCTCATGCATTTCAGGAGTTCAACGGCCCCCATGGGCTGCATTACAGGTGGAGCAAATAGCTGCACTGAAGCATGCAGACATCAAGTAAACAACAGGTTGCGGTGACTCATTTCCTCCCCCCAAGTGCAGAATAGGAGAATCGAGAGCAGAAACGCACCCTACTCAGTTACTTATTTCTCTGCCAAATAGGCAAAAGAAGAGGCCAAAAATCAAAGGAAGCCCACACGG